CATCCCGAAAGCCTAGATGCTGGCGCTTGCGTATTTCCGACGCTGAACCCGCAGTGATATCGCAACAGCATCCGGGATTGCAGCACACAGCAGGCTGGCACGCATGCATGTAGTTAGAAGTGAGCAAGCAAGCAGTAATAGTAAGTAGCAAACAGGAATCTGGAATAGTGCACCGCACCGGGACGTCGCGTTGCAATCGAACAAAATCAGTCGTATGACGACGGTGGTTGACAGGGTATTTTATTATTTATTATAAAATATAAAAAGGAAAAGTTGGTTCGCGGTGCAGCGGTCGATCTTTGTGCGAATACGCGATTCGGGTCCGTTGTTATCATCACGATGTACGGGTGTGAGTGATGTGGTGAACGAGAGGGTCGAAAGGACTCTCCATCGGTCTAGTCTGCTGGCGATGAATAATCTGCGGTGATGATGTGAGGGCAAGAGCAAGCAGTGTTACGTATTATTATTATCACCGTTGATCATAAGAAGAAAGAACGTGAAAGGCAACAAGTGTGAGCCGCCGCGGCGGATAGGAGTGATGCACAGTCACCGCAGTTGTACAGGGTGTTCCGAGGTACTTTACTTATCATATACCTAGGTACAAGCGATTAAAAAAACAATCACTCTAGAAAATGGATTGTGTATTTGTTTAAAAAATTGTGTCTACTATTATAAGCATTTAACGCCTCGGTCGAATTTGATACTTATCATTAAAATTTATCATCACCTATTGGATATGCCTGTTAGTGCTTTTCTATCATTATTTATGTGATTAGTTTTTCTTGTATTTTTGCTTTATACGTATTTTAGGTATAATTACTTTTTATCTGTTTGTATGTAGTTTTTTGTTTTCTATTAAATAAATGATTTAATTAATTTGCTATACTGCTTTTTATTTTGTTTTTTTTATTTTATTTATATTCATTTTTATTTACCCATTTACGTAAGTTTCGAAATTCTTGCAAATATAAGCTAATTTGTTGATTTATTTGGAAATATAATCACAAAAATACTCACTTACATTTTTCAGTTTTATTATTTGCTATTATTACTTACTTTTTATTAAATTAATGGTAGTTAAATTGCATTCATTAGCCGAACATTGTGACCGAGAAGTAAGGAACAATGATTCGCAAATTTCATGAGGAAAAAGACGTACCTACAGAGTAGGATTTTAGACGTCACCCTAAATTTTCATTCAGTTTGCTGCAATATCTTAATTATGTTATCAGACTAACGGAATGTGTCATTTACAGATCAATCATACTAAAAAAATACGAGGCGATAGAAGTGTGGGTAATACGAATACAGACTACTTACTTAATGTTTAAAAATAATAATAATTGGAGTGTCTTCTCTAGTCAATAGAAAATGCATTTTTCATATTTGATAAACTCTTAATGCTACAATTTCGCCCTTCTTCCAAAATAAGTATAAATGTGATTCTAGGTTTGATAACATTCAAAATTTCTGTTATCTCCATCTGCTCTACTACAAACTCCATTCATTCATTTGTGACACAAGAAATACACTTATTATTTATTTATTTTATTATTATTTTTAGAATCGGTGTTTTCGTTTTTATCTATAAACAGATGTCCAACTAGTCTTAGAACTGACGACCTTATGATGATGACGATTTATTGGATTTGTATCAAAAATGGATAAGATAAACTCTTGGTTGGTATAATAATCTGAAGAGTTTATACTCACCCTCATGTGACCGAGTATTTTGCGTCAATTACCTGTGTACAAAGGGCATCTTTAACGCCATTGTGCTGTTAAGACCAGCCTCATTCCGTTGGTCGGTCGGCTAATTTGCAATTTAAATTCAAGCTACTGCTTGTGTAACATTGCAAATTGATTTACTCTTAAAGAACATCAATTCTGAGTTTAATTGCGAAGAACGTCCACGGACGTTTTGTTAGTTTTCGTTATTATCGTTCAAAAATGTATTAGGTACTGTACGGCCGATTAAATGTTGGAAATCCATTTCGTAATTTCAGGGTTTGACTGATTGTGAGTAGATACTAAAGTAACAGCTGAATTAAAAAATCTACACAAGAGTCAAACTTCATACGAAAAATTATTTTATACAAAGACTAATCGGTAGCGATTTAATGGATGTAGGAATTTCGAGAAAACAAAGACGTTTGAAAAGAAATTAGAAAAACATATTCGATTTGTAAATACTTACTTGATATTTAAAAAATTTGTAAAGAAATTTCAAATTCTGTACAACTAAAGCGCGAGTAGAAAGTAGTTTTACATAAAAAAATGATTTTCAATATTTGCTTTAGTTAAATTGGTGTAAGCCGCACTAACGGAACTACCTCCTTATGCAGAGCATTAAGTTTGTTGTATGAGTCACAATAAATTAAAAAAAAATAAACGTCGGGCCTAGACGGTTTTTAAAGAGAAAAACTTTAAAGGTAAATAAAAAGTCCTTGAAATATAAAATTGGCATTAAGGGCGTACACGAAGCCTAAGTTTTTTAAGTATTACTTTTTGCCTAAAAATAAATTCAGACCGAATTATGATACGCCTTTGTTACAAATTTCAATCGTTTTAATCGCAGTAGAAATTTACATTTAAAAACTTTCTGCTTTTTCATTGTGTTTTAAATAAGTGAAATACGCTGAATGTATTAATGCTTTTTTTTGTCAAATTGTAATTGTAAATACTTTTCAGTTTCTTCCCTTTGTCTACAGGTTGCGTGAAGTGCTATGCACCTTGAGCTTAGGTTGGGTTATGTTAAGTTGAGAAAGGATCTCTGAGTGGCATTCGTGAAGTGATATGCGCTAAAAGAGTTCAGGTTAGGTTATAGCAAAAATAGTTTTCCAGTTTAGCATGTGTGATGTTTTTCAAAAACAGTTGAAAATCTCAAAATAGAGATAGGTACTGTTAGCAATGTCGGCCCAAAATTAAAATATACAGGGTGTTCTATTTACAATAACGAAGCTAAGTAACGTCTAGAAAACATGGAAAGAAATGTATTACTGAAAATATTTTCTGTATATGCACCATATGATTGCAGACCAGCTTTATAGAAAAATTGTTTTTATTAAAAGTATAATAATAGAAATATGAAGATTGGAAAAACTTTGGCGGTTGTTGTAGAACAAACAAAATAGCTCAAAACCCCAACGCCAAAACACGACACTGTAGTTGTCCGAAGCACTTTTCGGTCAAAATAATTCGAAGTGGTCTGTATTCTGTCGAAACTGCCAGACGCGGATCGCGATTTCGATCTTTTTGGATCTCATCAGCGCGTCGCAGGCAGCTCCGACAGAACACAGACCAACCTTTACCTGCTGTCTTAACAGCGCGTTTTAGAAAATACTACAAATGGCGTGGTGTGCGCCATCTGTAGTACGATGCTACATTTGAGGATTACATATGCTCCAACAAGGTCCACTTAAAAATATGGATATCTACTTGTTGAAACGAATCCCGGCGTAGCTCACCTCAACGTGACAGGCACGTTACCATAATCGAACAAAGTTACATTCTTCAGGGGCTGAAGTAAACTAAATCTAAATGAGAACTAATCCTAATTTATACTGATAGTTGTTAAGGTTCAGTGAACATGACCCGAAGCCAACAAGGTAGATGTTCAATGGACATTATTGTTAAGAACAATTTGTTTATTTTTATAAATGTATAAACTTTCAAAACTGTCTAGTAAACGATTATTCCTAACTTCTTTAACTAACTTAAGGTTATTAATATTAATATTATGTCCATCAGTAAGAATATGTTGGGCAACACTAGATTTTTCTTCTCTACCAAACCTAGCATGAGCTAGATGTTCTTTAAATCTGGTTTTGATTGAACGTCTAGTTTGTCCAATATATTTTTTACTACAGTCATTACAACTAATTTCATATATCCCCGACTTTTCTAAGAATGGAATTTTATCCTTAGGGTTACCAAGGAGAGTTTGAATGGAGTTGCCATTTGAACTGTAAGCAATCCGTAAACCAAGTTTTCGAAAAATACCCTCGAGTCCGCGAGTAAATCTTGGCTCGTATGGCATAGTAATAAACTTGGTTTTATTAGCATCTGTTTGAAAAGTCGTAGATCTTGAAATAAAATTCCTAAATTTTATCTTATTAATTAATTTATCAATAATGTTACAATTGTAACCATTGTCTTTTGCAATTTTCTTAATTGTACAGAGTTCCTTATGATATCTATTTTTACTAAGAGGGAAGCTAAGTAACCTGTGTACAAGGAAGTTAAAACTAGCCATTTTATGTTGAATACAATGATTAGAGTCGTTGGGTATACATCTAGAGGTATTAGTGGGTTTTCTGTAGATGTCGAATTCTAAAGAATTCCCATTTCTTATAACCAACGTATCTAAAAATGGTAACTTGCCATCTTTTTCCATTTCAACAGTAAATTTAACCGAAGGGAAACGTGAATTTAAAACATCAAGAAAGTCTTGAAGACTTCTGGAACTTAAATCGAAGATAGCGAAAATGTCGTCCNTCCGTAAACCAAGTTTTCGAAAAATACCCTCGAGTCCGCGAGTAAATCTTGGCTCGTATGGCATAGTAATAAACTTGGTTTTATTAGCATCTGTTTGAAAAGTCGTAGATCTTGAAATAAAATTCCTAAATTTTATCTTATTAATTAATTTATCAATAATGTTACAATTGTAACCATTGTCTTTTGCAATTTTCTTAATTGTACAGAGTTCCTTATTATATCTATTTTTACTAAGAGGGAAGCTAAGTAATCTGTGTACAAGGAAGTTAAAACTAGCCATTTTATGTTGAACACAATGATTAGAGTCGTTGGGTATATATCTAGAGGTATTAGTGGGTTTTCTGTAGATGTCGAATTCTAAAGAATTCCCATTTCTTATAACCAACGTATCTAAAAATGGTAATTTGCCATCTTTTTCCATTTCAACAGTAAATTTAACCGAAGGGAAACGTGAATTTAAAACATCAAGAAAGTCTTGAAGACTTCTGGAACTTAAATCGAAGATAGCGGGTCATGTTCACTGAACCTTAACAACTATCAGTATAAATTAGGATTAGTTCTCATTTAGATTTAGTTTACTTCAGTCCCTGAAGAAGGTAACCTTGTTACCGAAAAGTGCTTCGGACAATTACAGTGTCGTGTTTTGGCGTTGGGGTTTTGAGCTATTCTGTTTGTTCTATAATAAAAGAGTTATGGACGAAACTGGTTTAGATGAGACAGCCTGTATTATAAAATATTGAGGAATATTAGAGATATCTACCTTGATAAAACGTTTTTGTTTCCTTTAATCAACGTATTTCGAGTTTATGTACCTTTATCCTAATATTAAGGAACTACTTAATTGTATATGCATGTTTCCGTGACATTTTCCGATTTTAAAATGAAAAGTTATGACAGTTAATTAATGAGCTGCATTAACAAAAAGTTTGTGATATTATTATAAGCCATGGGGCAAGCTATCCAAAACGATTTAGGTACGTTATACAGGTCCGGATAAGATACAAGAGTCTATATTTTAAGCGCGACTTTATTTAGATTTAATAGTTTAATTTCCGTCCAGAACTAGAAGGGTTTCGT